ATATATATATATGAAACTTGTATTCAACTCACAACTTCTAACATCTGGCACTGAAGCAGATTAGTAAATTAGGATTATTCTCTGTTTCCTTTTGACTCATCGTATCTTTCTCTTTCTCCTACAGGCATTTGGGAATGCAAAGACAGCACATAATAACAACTCCAGTCGTTTTGGGAAGTTCATCCAAGTGAACTACCAGGAGAGTGGCACTGTGAGAGGGTAAGAGGCCAAGGACTAACCTGAAAACAGTTTAATTTGTACTTTTTGACGGTATCCTCCTCCTTCTCTTTTGGCTGTTCCCTCTTCAGGGTTTGCAGCAGTGAGTGATCCTCCTCCACCTTACTCTGTCCTCTGTGTCTACTGTCCTCACTCCGACTACCTCCATGTCCTCTCTAATTGCATCCATATATCTCCTCTTTGTCTTTTTCCTGGCATCTCTAACATCTTTCTACCAATATACCCACTGTCCCTCTTCGGCACGTGTCCAAACCATCTCAGTCTGTCCTCTCTAATTTTATCTCGTGTTTCAAACTGTGCTRTACTGTAACACTGTGTGTGTATTTTTATTTTTATTTTTTACAGAGCGTATGTGGAGAAGTATCTCTTGGAAAAGTCAAGACTGGTCTATCAGGAGCACAATGAACGGTGAGCTTTATTAACAATCCCAAATCACAGTGAGAGCAAGTGACAAGAACAGGAAGTTGAAACTGAATGAAACTGAACCCAAACACCAGAGGTATATAAAGTACTTAAAAAGTAAAAAGTAAGTAAAAGTAATAATAACTTCACAGAAAATGACTGTGGTAAAAATTTATTTCACTGATAAGAAACTTATTTCAGTAAAAGTCATAAAACTGCTCATATTAATCGGAAAAGTATTACACGTTCTCTGAGGAATGAAGCGTTGAGTTGACTGAACCAAACTGGTTCAACTGAACCGAGTTGAGTAAACTGCTTTACATTTACTGAATCCAGTTTGGTGGAATCAGTTAATGTAACTTTGTTCAGTAAATGCAACACTTCATTTTTAGAATGCATAACTCCTTTCATGATGAGTTCTGGTCATATTTAAAATTTTAATGTGTGGTTTAACAAGGTGTTAACTTTAAAAGTAATAGACTAAGTAAAAGTATATTTTTTATGTTTTGAATGTAACAAAATATAAGCAAAAGTTATAATAAAAATACTTGGTAAAATTATAAATCCTCAAACAAATGACTTAAGTACTGCAACAAAGTAAATGTATTTAGTTATTATACAACTTGCGTGATTAAGAAGCAGTAGAGTTTAAAATCATCACTCAGTATTATTTCAATTTGAAGTTTTATACGTTTTATAAAAGGGTTTGGTTTATGATACTTGAGCTGCACTTTGCTGAAAACTAGATTTTTGTTCTTTTCTTTTTTTAAGTTTGTAAAACGATRCACATCTGATTGAATTTAAGCGTTTGTCTTTGCCAAACTGCGAAGAGAGTTGAGCTCCAAGCGTGACTTGGACAGTGTGAGGGTTGATCTCACCAGAGGCAGCTCACATCTGGACTCTCGTACTCTCCACCTCTGACTGAGATGGATGTCAGGCTTACAAATGCTTGTGTGTGTGTCTGTTAAAGTTAATTTGAAGTGGATCTGGGTCACATGCTGCTCCATGCTTTTAAACACTCTACATTTATCATTACAGTTAGTTGGACACGGACCACATCGTGTGGTAGATAAACACAACCTCCAGTGATGACCTAAATTTTATTTGGTGTGTCAAATATTCAGGGTTCTAATGTTTTCAGGCTGATTCCTATTTCCTGGTGTTATCCCTGGAATTTGAGTGTCCCTTTTTTTCTGTACAAAAACGTCACAGGAGTTGTGAACATCGCTCCAAGATGCTAATATGGTGCAAGAG